TAAATGCTTGGCATAGTCCCTTGGACATGGTTATAGCCTACAAATACTAGTTTTTGACTTACTATTAGGAGTAGAGATTCTGTGGCAGCATGACATGGCCTGCCCTTGGTTTCCAGATCACATGCTAACTTTTTGTTCCCATGGATAGGTGTAGCTTCATTCCAAGGTCTGGTCCCCATCCTGAAGTCCCAGACTGGATTGAAGGTCTTTATTTCTTTTCACCAACATCCATGTGTCCACTTTCTTTCTCCATAAACAGGGTGTCCTATTCCCAGACCTGAGCTGATCTACCACCTAGAGCATGGGCAGGAGCCATGGACCAGGAAGGAAGACCTCTCGCAAGACACCTGTCCAGGTAGGAGCCAAGATCTGGGGAGGTCGGAGTCCCTGCTGGCTTGAGACTGGATAGAGACCACTGGCCCTGGGATCTCTTGGGAAGCTTCTCACTGTGGCTTCTCTAAGGGTTTGGGAGCCTTGGAGCCCTTAGTGGTTTCTCCGTCCTCCTAGCCCTGTCACGCTTGTCCCCACTCCTGGGGAGGAGTGAGGTGTATGAACTGAGATTGGTCCTGGGGCTCCAACCTTGTGTGCCTGAAACCTGGTTTGCCAGTCAGCTACTCTTTGTGACCCTAGTGAAGTTTGTATATGAGTTTGGCTAAGTTAACACCAGCTGCTGTATCCAACAAATTCCAAAATTTAAATGATTCACATATGAAAACTCTTTTCACTCATACCAAGGTCTGTGTGGGTCGGGAGGGAACTCTGTACCACAGTTATTCAGGACCTAGAGTCCTTCTGTCGTCAACCTATTGCTTTAAGGTTGTCCTGACATCCTCTTGCTGGTAGAGAATTAAGGGAATAAGGGATGTCATACCCACTTTCAGAAATACCACCTCCCCTCACATTTCACCCATGGGAACTGGGCATTTGGCTGTACTTGGGTCCGTGAGTCTAGGAATTGTGGCTGAGCTGCCTGTCCAAGGAGAAGAGCAGATGGTCTGGTGAGCACCTACTCAGTCCACTATACTCAGTCTGTTCCTGAAAAATGCTATTAGAAATTTTTTTTTTTTTTTTGAGACGGAGTCTCTCTCTGTTGCCCAGGCTGGAGTGCAGTGGCGCAGTCTCAGCTCACTGCAAGCTCCGCCTCCCGGGTTCACGCCATTCTCCTGCCTCAGGCGCCCACCACCGCACCCGGCTAATTTTTTGTATTTTTAGTAGAGACGAGGTTTCACTGTGTTAGCCAGAATGGTCTCGATCTCCTGACCTCGTGATCCGCTCGTCTCGGCCTCCCAAAGTGCTGGGATTACAGGCGTGAGCCACCACACCCAGCCCAGAAATTATGTTTATAAAAAAAAAAGAAAAACATTATTTTTATACCATTGGGCAGTTTGAAGATGTAATCATGTGATACATTAATGCATAAAACTGCATAGATTCTGAGCCGTGTTACGTAAGTGACTCATCAAAGTAAGCTGTGAGTGTTACTCATGTCATATAAACCTTAATGAGTGATGATACGTTACATTTCCTTCTGAACTCTGGGGAGCAGGGCCTGTTTTACTCTCCCAAGTTCTCTTTCCAGTTATATTCTGCCTATTAGCCTCTCCCACCTTCTCCTTCCACTGATTCCCTTAGTGTCAATCAGACACTAAGAAGCAGTACTTCCTCCATGTCTTCCTATATCTCCTGTTTTCCAAAAATCCTCAGGGTGACATTTGACCTCTGTCCCACACTCAGGCTGCTGAGGACATGAGGCCATCTGTGAGGTGTGTGGATTGGTGCCACTGCAGAGCCTTGGCGTCTGCCCGCATGGGTTCCTTGAGATGCTCATCCAACCCTGAGTGTTTATGCGGTCCCTATTCAGCCCTTCAGAGTCTCTTCCAGATCGTCCCTTCTTCAGTGCCACATCTCCACTTGAAAATCCTGAAAGCACAAAACTCAACATGCCTAAGAAGGAACCCGTGATCTTGCTCGCTCTTGCCACCTCGCAAGTTTCAGTGAATGGCTCTGCCATCCAGGCAGATTAGGGGATCCAACCTCAGACAGGTCAACCCCTCCGCCTCCATAAGTCCCTGCATCCAGTCTATCTCCAGAGCCTTTCGATTTCACATCATGCATGTCTCCTCAATTCATCCCTCTATCACCTCCATGAGACCTATCCTTCTGCTTTTTTTTTTTTTTTTTTGAGATGGAATTTCGCTCTTGTTGCCCAGGCTGGAGTGCAATGGCATGATCTTGACTCAACGCAACCTCCGCCTCCCGGGTTCAAGCGATTCTCCTGCCTCAGCCTCCCAAGTAGCTGGGATTACAGGCATGCGCCACCACACCTGGCTCATTTTGTATTTTTAGTAGAGATGAGGTTTCTCCATGTTGGTCAGGTTGGTCTCAAATTCCTGACCTCAGGTGATCCACCCACCTCAGCCTCCCAAAGTGCTGGGATTATGTGCGTGAGCCACTGCGCCCAGCCTCCTTAGGCTCTTACTCTAAGCTCTTACCATCTTTTTTCTAGGGCATGTTAATAGACTCCCAAAACTTAATCTCTGTATCTGCTTTGTGCCTCTGGTCAGTTCTTTGTCCTGCATGGGGTACTCCAGCATTCAGACCTTGTTCCAGACAGTTAATATTTCCCCAGCCACTCAGCATGTGACTGCTGATGTATCAGCAGGTTTTCATGTTGACAATATCATCTACTTACATTGTTTAATCAGCAGTCCTTACACATTCCTCTCAACCTCTCATATCGGTAGCTTCTCTCTTCTCCTGATGAAAGAGGTCTTGCCCTTGGCCACGGTCAGTTTTTTTGAAGAGTTTGTATCACACCTTTTCATGGACATTTTTTCTTCACTTATATTCTGCTTGTCTTGTAACTTCATCCTTTCTGTACTCAACATAAAAAATGCTCAACTTCCTTATCCTTGAAGAAAATTAAACAATTCAGTGTTCATGGTTCACAGTATATTCATATATTCATTCACTCTCTGAGCACTTAATTGTTTACGTTTTTATATCAGTGATGCTGTGGACATTTATATATGTTGTTCATCTTTCACATGTGTAGGGGCACATTTTTGATGTTTCTGGAGTGAAATAATTGGATTATAAACTATGCAAATGTTCTAGTTTGCAAGATCATTCTCATTGTTTTCTAAAGGGCCTATATCAAAAAATTCCTCTCAGGAATTTTTGGAAGTTTCCATTGATCCATATCCTATCTAGTACTTGAAACTATAAGGCCCCTCAATTTTTGCTGATCAAATGGAAACAAAATATTATCTCTTGTGCTCTTGATTTGCATTTTCCTCATGGGTAAGGTTGTTTAGTGTCTTTCACAATTCTGAGCCAATCTGTATTTTCTTCTGTGAGATGTTATTTGGTGATAAATGCCTATTTTTCAATTAACTTCTTTGGCTTTCTCTTTTTATTTGATTTTTATACATTCTAGATACCTATCTTTTATCAGTTACATTTGCTGCAGGTATATTCTTCTAGTTTTTAATTTTGTCCTTCCACTCTCTTTAAAGTATCTTTTGTTCAGTGAGTTCCTTACATAGTGTAGTCTGATTTGTGGTTTTTTTTACGTGATTAATGATTTTGTGCCTTGTGGAAAAAATGTGCTTTACCCTAATATTGAAAAGGTATTCTTGTTTATTTTATTGTCAGTTGTAAAACTTGCCATTTGGCATTTAAGTCTTTATCAATCTGAAGTTGGTTTTGAGTATAAAATGTGATAGAATACAATATTTCCATTCCCCATGTGGGTAGCCAATTTTTCTAGCTCTATTTCCTTAGTAGTCTCTCACCACTGAGGTGCTGTGCCTCCTTGCCATCTACCAAAGCCCCATCTGTGTGCAAGGGGATTTCTGAGCTCTCCGTTCTTCTTTATTCCCAGTTGGCATCGTGTCTGTGCCAGAGTGGTACCTCTGCCTTATGAGCCCTGTCCTGAGAGTGGCACTGCTCTTCACAGCTGTCACCTAGGTCAGAATGTTAGGAATCAGTTCCCCTGTGCCTCTTCTTTCCCTAGATTCTCATCACCACAACCCTCTCATGTGCTATAGCTCATTTGCATATTCTGTCTCCTAAGGCTATGGTGTCTTTCCCACTTTCTCTCGTGACCAGTAGGACTTACTTCACTGGGTATCTTCTACTGGAAAAATGCCTTGACCTTTTTCTACCCAGGATTAGCCAAACTCAAGATTAAGGACACAGTCCTCCAGGACTTTGTCAAGTCTGCCCAAATCCTCTAATTCCAACTGCAAATTCAGGGATTTCCTGAAACCACCCTCAGGTTTCATAACTTGCTAAAAAGATCCACAAGACTTTCTAAAACCTATTATGCTCACAGTTCTGTTTATTACAGACAAAGCAGACAAATTAGAAGAGGACACAGGATATGGGGCTGAGGGTGTTCCAAACACAAAGCTTTCTCGGTGACTTGTTACCCACCCAGCATTGATGTGTAAAATATGTGCACAGAGCATTGCAAACCCAGGAAACTCAGTGGAGTTCTGGTTTTTAGAGTTTGTTGAGCTTTATTACACAAGCGCAGTTGATCGAGACATTGCCCATAGTGCCATGTGAAGTTTCCAGCCTTCGCCCCTTTTCCAGAGTTCAGCTGATATCTTGTGGCTCAGGGACCTAACCTTCTACTCACGGGTTGGTCTTTCTGGTGCCACCAGACCTCAGCCAGAGTCATCTATTTAGGATAAACTATTTAGGGACCCGTAATGAGTTACCTTTATGTAAATATTCAGTCTGGAATTGAGGCGGTGTCTCCACCCTAGGCCTTGTCCCCTCACCTGGTCTCTCTGCCTGGTCTCCCTCTCAAGGAGTCAGGAATCCAAGGTAAAGAAAGGAAACAAATTACAGACCTGGGGTTCAAGATGGGAAAATATAACAGACATAAAGGCACCATTTACAACTTCATTTTTTTCACTGAAGTGGGATTTTGTTTCTTCTCTTTTTACATTACTAACAGGCCCTTTTGTGTATCGGATTTCTTTCAGGTGACAAAGCAAAACCTGAGAACCCAGAACCTACCACCTGTGAGCTAGCCTTGTCTGAAGAAATCTCATTCTGGAGACAACTAACACAAGGAGCTTCAGGGGACTCCCAGTTGGGGCAACCCAAGGATCAGGATGGGTTTTCAGAAATGCAGGGAGAGCACTTGAGACCAGGGTTAGATTCCCAAAAGGAGAAGCTTCCTGGAAAAATGAGCCCCAGACATGATGGTTTAGGGACAGCTGATGGTGTGTGTTCAAGGGTTATACAGGATCAGGTCTCCTTAGGAGATGATGTCCGTGACTGTGACTCTCATGGATCAGGTGAAAATCCAGTGATTCAGGAAGAGGAGAATACCTTTAAATGCAGTGAATGTGAAAAAGTGTTTAACAAGAAACGTCTGCTTGCTCGGCATGAGAGGATTCACTCTGGAGTGAAGCCCTATGAATGCACAGAGTGTGGAAAAACCTTTAGCAAGAGTACGTACCTCCTGCAGCACCACATGGTCCACACTGGGGAGAAGCCCTATAAGTGCATGGAGTGTGGAAAGGCTTTTAATCGGAAGTCACACCTTACCCAGCACCAGCGGATTCACAGTGGAGAGAAGCCTTACAAGTGCAGTGAATGCGGAAAGGCCTTCACCCACCGCTCCACTTTCGTCTTGCATAACAGGAGCCACACTGGAGAAAAACCCTTTGTGTGCAAAGAGTGTGGCAAAGCCTTTCGAGATAGGCCAGGTTTCATTCGACACTACATCATCCACAGTGGTGAGAATCCCTACGAGTGCTTTGAATGTGGCAAGGTCTTCAAACACAGGTCATACCTCATGTGGCACCAGCAGACTCACACCGGGGAGAAGCCCTATGAGTGCAGTGAATGTGGGAAGGCCTTCTGTGAGAGCGCAGCCCTGATTCACCACTATGTCATCCACACTGGGGAGAAGCCCTTTGAGTGCCTCGAATGTGGGAAGGCTTTCAACCACCGATCATACCTCAAGAGGCACCAGCGGATTCACACTGGGGAGAAGCCTTATGTGTGTAATGAATGTGGAAAGGCCTTTACCCACTGCTCTACTTTTATCTTGCATAAAAGGGCCCACACTGGAGAAAAGCCTTTTGAGTGCAAAGAATGTGGGAAAGCCTTTAGCAATAGGGCAGACCTTATTCGACACTTCAGCATCCACACTGGAGAGAAGCCCTATGAGTGCATGGAGTGTGGAAAGGCCTTCAACCGCAGGTCAGGCCTCACAAGGCACCAGCGGATTCATAGTGGAGAGAAGCCCTATGAATGCATTGAGTGTGGGAAAACATTTTGCTGGAGCACAAACCTCATTCGACACTCCATCATCCACACTGGAGAGAAGCCGTATGAGTGCAGTGAATGTGGAAAGGCCTTCAGTCGCAGCTCATCCCTCACTCAGCATCAAAGGATGCATACTGGGAGAAATCCTATCAGTGTAACCGATGTGGGAAGACCTTTTCCAAGTGGGCAGACCTCAGTCAACATCCAAGAACTTTTATTGGGGAAAAACTTTTTGAATGTCACCACTGAGGAAAATCTTTTGCAAGAGGAAGCATCTTACATGGCATCTGATCATACCTACCAAAGAGAAACCCCACAAGTGTCTTCACTGTGAGAAAACCTTCTGTTGCCAAATGTCATTTGTCACCTAAGGAGTCATATTAGAAAATTACACAGCTTAGAGCCTTATTCTCCATCTGAATTCATCCTGGAAAAACACCCAGTGGTTATTATGCACTTAGGAAAACCTTTAGCTCCATCTTTGTCGTTAGTTTACAGTGCAGTGTTATCTCAGGAATTTTTATAAAAAGAGGTGACATAGAAAAAATGAAATGCAGACACTGCTTCTTTTATACTGTTGTCTTATATGTACGTTTCTGTCCCACGTCAGGAAAGTTAGTAAGGCAAGGTCTGGAAACTGACTGAATGTCTTTGTTCTGCAACATTGTCTCTTCTTAAGAAGCATTGTTTTTATGAGAAATATGAAGGCTTGAGTTATGAAATACTTTTATATTTAAGGATTAAAGGAAACATGAATGCGCACGTTTTATTCCACCACTTAAGACTGTTTTAAGTCTTTGATTTGGAGAGAAAAAAAATCCTTTTTTAATGGGTATTGAACACTTAACACAGAATTTTTCTTGATTCCCATCTGTTGGTTTACTTGATTGCTATAGCTGTATGGTAAATCTCAAAATTAGGTAATGTGATTTCTTTTTTCTTATTTTTATTTAAAATTCATTTAGCATTCCTAGTTTCTTTGACTTTCCATATACACTTTAGGATTGATTTTTCTGTTTTTCAAATATTCTTGCTTGGATTTTGATATAATTGAGTTACACCTGTAGATCAATATGTTGAGTATTGGCATCTTAGCCTTCCAATTCATGAACATGGCATATCTTTTCATTTATTTAAATTTTCTTGGATATATTTCATTACTGTTTTATAGTTTACACAGTATAACTCCTGCACATTTAAAATAAGATTTATAGCTTCATAGTTTTTTGCGTGATTATAAATGGCATTGATTAAAGTTTCAGTTTTCATATGATGTTGGCTAGTATACAGAAACATTATTTTTTCCATCTTATTTTGCTGTCTTGCAACTTTCCTAAACTCATCATTTCTTGCCATTTCCTTTGGGATAATCCTTAAGATTTTAAACATAGAAATATCATTTGCAATTTGGGACAGTTTTATTTCTTGCTTCCCATCTGTACACCTTTTATTTACTTTTCTCATGTTATTGCACTAGGTAGGATTTCCAGTGTGATACTGAATACAAATAGTGACAAGTTATCCATGCCTTGTTCATGATATTAGGGGGGAAATGTTCGGTTTCTCATTAATATGATGTTGAAAGTTTCTTCCAAAGAGTTTCTCTATCAAGTTTAGAAAGTTTCTCTCTATTCCTAATTTGCTGGGATTTTTTAGTTATTATTAATAAGTGTTGAATTTTGTCACTTGCTTTTTCTCCACTGATTGATTTAATTATGTCATGTTACTTCTGTAGTCAGTTGATGTGTTACCTTGACTGAGTTTTGAGTATGGAACCAGCCTCACATCCTTGTGATAAGCCCTACTTGCTCATGGAGTATAATTTTGTTTGTATACTATGCAACAGTATTTCATTTGCTAGTATTTTGTTGAGGAAGCTTCCCTCTAATTTCATGAGTGATAATCTGTAGTTTTTTTTCCTTCAACTGTTACTGTTTGGTTTTGATGTCTAGATGATAACTAGCCTCCTAACATGAGTTGGAAGGAATTATCTTCTGTTTTTTTGGAAGATCCTATGTACAGTCGGTGTTATTTGTTCCTTTAATGTTTGGTAGCATTCTCCAGCAAACAAGTGGGACCTGGAGATTTTCCTTTTGGATGCTTTTTAATTATGTATTTATTTTATTTAATAGGTATAGAACTATTCAGAGTATTTCATATTGGATGAATTTTTATAGATTTTCTTAAGGAAGTGTTCATTTTATGTAAATATTCTCATTTGTAGCATTCTTTGAAATATTTCCTTTTAGCCTCTTGTTGGCAGCAGGATCTGTACTTACGTTCCTTGTTGTATTCTTGATATTGAAAATGTATCACTTATTGTCAGTCTTTGTAGACATGTGTCAATTTCATTGATCATTTCAAAGAAATAGCACTTTATATCACTGATTTTTCTCCACTTTCTGTTCTTAATTTCACTGATACCTGCTCTGATCTGTATTGTATCCTTCCTTCTACTTGCTTTGGTTGTATTTGACTCAGTGGTTTCCTGAGGTGGATGTTTAGGTTATTGATTTGAGGCTTTTTTCTTTTTTCATATAAGCTTTAAGTTCTATACATTTTTCTTACAGTGCTGTTAGTTTCATCCCACAAGTTTTAATATGTTTTTGATTATCTTACTCAGTTCTAAGATTTCCTGATTCCTTTTGAGACATCTTCTCTAACCCATGAATTATTTAGAAGTATATTGTTTAATAGTATTTGGAGTATTCCCTGCTATTTGTTACTGATTTCTAATTTGTTTTGCATTTGATGTTACTGTTTAAATTTGTTGACTTTTTTTCCTTATGATCCAGGATATAGGCTATCTTGTTTTATATAGCTGCTTGAAAAGAATGTGTGTTCTTGGTCATTGGGTGGAGTTTCTATAAATGTTTGTATGATCCTGTTAGTTGGTGGTGTTATTTAGGTCTCCTATATCCTTGCTGATTTTCTGTCTAGTATTTCTATCAATTGCCAAGAGAGGGATGTTGAAGTCCCGAACTATAATTGTGGAATTATCTATTCCTCCTTTAAGTTCTATCAGTTTTTGCTCCACATAATTTAAAGCTCTGTTGTTTGATATATACACATATAGGTTTGCTTAGTAGTCTTGCTGTATTGACCCTTTTATAACTAAGTAATGTCCTTTTTTGCTCCTGTTAATACTCTTATCAATTTTTATCTGATATTTGTGTGGTCACTCGTACATTTTGGGTTAATGTTTGCATGATTTATACATTTTCATCATTTTTTAAAACCTTATCTGTATCACTATATTTGGAGTAAGTTTCTTGTGAACAGCATATATGTGGGTTGTGATTTTATATCCAGTTTGCATATCTTTTTTTTTTTTTTTTTGAGACGGAGTCTCACTCTGTCGCCCAGGCTGGAGTGGAGTGGTGTGATCTTGGTTCACTGCAACCTCCGCCTCCTGGGTTCAAGTGATTCTCCTGCCTCAGGCTCTTGAGTAGCTGGGATTATAGGCATCTGCTACCACGCCTGACTAATTTTTTGTATTTTAATAGACATGGGGTTTCACCGTGTTGGCCAGGCTGGTCTCGAACTCCTGACCTCAGGTGATCCGCCTACCTCAGCCTCCCAAAGTGCTGGGATTAAAGGTATGAGTCACTGTGACTGGCCCCAGTTTGCATATTTCTGTCTTTTATTGGTGTATTTAGACCATTTAAAGTTTACAATAATTATGTTAGTGTTATGTCTACTATTTTATGATTAGTTTTTTGGTTTTTTGTGTTTCCTGTTGCTTCTTTCTTGAGTTTTTTGGGTTTGTTTGTGTTTTGGTCTTGAACATTTTTTAGAATTCCATTTGATATATTTGTAGTGTTTTTAAAATATATTTCTTTGTATTAATTTTTTTAGTGGTTGCTTTAAGTAGTATAATGTACATATGTAACATAATTACAGTTAATGGTATGAAAAATTTAGCACTTTGATGTATAGAAACCTTACTTCCATTGGTCCCTTTACCTTGCCTGTTAATATAATTGTCTAAAGTAATTCCTCTTCAAAATTGAGCACCATGTTGGAAAACGTAATTTTTGCTTCCACTGTCAAATATATTTTACAAAAGTCACAGCAAGTATTGCTTGTTGATCTCTTTACCCATTCCACTATTCTTTCTTGAAATTCTAAGCCACCTTCTATTAACATTTTCTTTCTGTTTGGCAAACTTCTTGTAGCCTTTTTTCTAGGGTCGGTCTGCTGGTGTCTCTAAAAGTGTCTTTATGTTCCCTTCATTCCTGAGGGATATTTTTGTGCGATACAGCATTTAGGGTCTGCAGTTCTTTTAGTACTTGAGAAACATGTTTGTTCCTTCTGTCTGCTATGCTTTCAGATGAGAAATCTGTTACCATTTGAACCGCTGTTCCCTAGTTCGTAATGAGTCATTTTTATCAACCTGCATTCAAAGTGTTTTTTTGTTTGTTTGTTTTTGTAGCAGTCAGAAGTTTGGTTATGAGATGTGTGACATGAAATTTTTTTGAGTGTGTATCCTGTTTGGTTTTTTTCAGCTTTTTGATCTGTAGGTTTATGCCCTTTGCCAAATTTGGGAATTTTTAACCATTATTTCTTGAAATATTTTTTCATCACTACTCTTTCTCCTCTCTGGAACTCCAGTGATATGAATGGTAGATCTTTTGTTACTGTCTTAGAGGTCTCTTGTGCTTTCATGTTTACCCCCTTTTTCTGGTCTGTTTTTCCCTTTTTTTCATATTGGTTAATTTCTGTTGACTTTTTTTCAGCTCACTGATTCTTTTTTTTTTTTTTCTGTCATATGCAGTCTACTGTTGAGCTTGTCCAGTGAATTTTCATTTTGGTTTTTGTATTTTTCAGTTGTTTAATTTCCATTTGGTTCTTTTGTACATCTTTGATTTCTTTGCTTAGTTTATAATACTAAAAGGGCACAGAAAACAGACAAAACTAAATTCCAAAGTCATGGTTTTCTGGTGGTTTGTCTCAATATTTGAATAGAAATCCTGAATTATCTGGAGGAGTAGAAGTCCTGTAGTCTTTTATATTGGGCTCCTTAAATATTTCTGTCAACAGATCTTATAACTGAGGGTGATCTGCGTATGCATTCAGAGTTACATACTCCAGGGGAAGGTTGTATGTAAAATCCTCCAGCTCTGTAAGCCGTGTTATATCCTTAATGGAGAAGGGATCATTCCTCTTCTAAAATCACTCTTACACATTTTTATTAGAGCCATGCACCCTTCCCGAACCAAATTTGTCTGTGTCCTCTGTCTTTCATACTCTTGTTTAGTCTTTAACTTCTCCTTATTAACCAACTTCTTTCCCATAATCTATAGCTTTATTCAGATCTCAAGCCTCATTTCCAACCTATTTCACCCTTCCTTGCCTACCAAGTTCTGGTTATTCCTTCTTTCTTCCACACATATGCCCTGAGTAACTGTTCTGTGCACTGTCCCCACCCCTTTACATTTCCTTTTATTCCCCAGACACTACTAAATGGCTTCCACCACCGTTGCCTGACTTAAGCAGGTCTCAGAAAGGTCCCTTTTCACCCCCTCACTCTCTTTTTGGACCTCCATACTGCTAAATCTCTGACTTGAAGGTCCTTTCCTGGCCTCTGTGAATTCCTGGCTTTTTTCCTTCATAGGGTCTGTGTCTTTCTTCCATCTATAAAACAGCTTTACTTCCCAATATCCATCGTGATCATTGCTGTTTTCTAACTTGTCCTTCACCCCATGAGTGAGTTAATTCATACTGAAGACACTTTACTCTCAATGATCTACAGAGTTTCCCTAAATCTGTGTCTCCAAGTTGGATGTTTCTCATGTCATTCCCCACTGGTCATCCTTCCACACCTTTTCTGTATTTGTACTCAGCCTATATGCATGTATCATGTGGCCATGACCTTGGTCATGGAGATGCACCCATAATCATCATAAGAGAACACAAACATAAAGTATTACTGTGTATCAGACATTGTTTTGAATGTTTTACATGCATCAGCTCTTTTAACGTTTATTACAGCTCCATAAAGTTATTTCTGCCCTTTAACAGATTAGAAAACTGAGATACAGAAAGACTAAGGAATTTGTCAAAGGTTTCACAATTATGAAATTTGGGTTTGGGGATTGGAAGCCATTACACTGGCTTCAGAATCCATGTCCTCAGCCACTTCATTGCTTCTCATATGGTAGGTTTTTGTTTCCTGGTCACTTATTTTTACTAAAATGGGTCAAACTGTGCTCATTTATTTATAATCTACTATTCTTATTTGACAGTACATCTTGGCCATTCCTTCAAGCAAATGAGATAAACCAGACTCACTCTTTAATGCCTGCATAAGCTATTGTGACTGTAGAAAAGACGGAGAATGTCTGGGTTTGAGGAAATGTGGGAAGGGTGGGGAGAAGGAGTAGAGAAGGGCTAAGGCATGCATGTGGTTTTAAGTGTGTTTGAGATGCCTGAAGAACGTCAGTGAATCCCCCTAATTTCTGTCGTTACTCAAACCAGACACATTGTGGCCATTTCTTTTTCCTTTATCATCCCCCCGTCCAACCACTGCCCCATTCCTTTTTGTTCCTTAGTAGACCCTTAATATATATGTGTGTTTTGGTAAATGGCCATACACAACAGGGTATTTTTTTTATTACAATTTTCAGTTCCCTCAGCGCATTTACCACAAAGCTGTGCATATAGGTGGCACCATATATGGCATACCTTGACCTCAAAGAGAATCTACATGGACTTTTATGGACCTATGTACACAGTTTTAGAAATCATAATGAATGACTGCTGGAGTCCTTAAGATCTCTTCCAGATTTGATGATTTGCTAGGAAGACTCACAGGACTCAGCATTTTGTCATCCTCAATGGCTATAATTTACCACACCGAAAGAATCCAGAGCAAACTCAGTAAAAGGAAAAGGCTCAGACCCAAGTCCAGAGGAAACCAGGCACAATCTTCGAGAATCTTAATGAAATCACACAGGATGTGCTTCACTGAAGCTCCATCTGGGACTTTACAACAACACGTGTGAGATGTGTTCCAGGAAGTCGTCTTGGGCACCCATTGCTCAGAGTTTATATTGAACTCACTTTCTAGCACATACCACAGTTCTAGACCTCCAGAAGAATAGGAGGTGTTCAGCATAAGCCACCTGTGCACAGACAATTTAGGCACATGGAGCTACTTCTCATTACTGGGAACAATGGGAAACCTCCCGAAACCTAAAGTCCAGACTCTAGCCAAGGAAGAACCTTGCAAGATCAAAGAATAGCAGTCTGTGGCCTGCTGTGTTGTCTCTCTTTCACAGTAACTTAAATGGAAAAATGCTGAGTTAGCTTAAGTTTCTGTAACATTAAGCAAATAAAATTTTCTATAACAAAAATAAGCCATAGCTTTGAGATGAAGGCTTATATACCTGTAAACCGTTGTAATCAAGAAAACAAAAAATCAGAGTCACAGTGAAAATACTTAACAAACTGGCCAGGATTTAATTCAGTGATGACAGGGAACAGAGGAAGTCTTGTGAGAAAGGATCTTGCCTCTGCCTAGTATCTTTCATAGATAGGCTTCAAGTGGTTTGACTTGCAGATACACTCTTTCTTGGCCTTTACTTTGGCAAACATGTGATGGGTAGGTAAATGCTGTGTTCTTTCCCTAGCACGTATGTCAGTTTCTCATCCACTCTTTGTTCTTGCTATTGAAAGTTGTAGCCTCTGGCTACAACAGAGATAGTTGAAGAATATGGAGTTCGTCATAATTTCTGTATCATTAAATGTGGATAATTTGAGATTAAAGAATATGTTGTTGCAGGCTTAATCACTTTGATGGATCTGTCTGTGAATTTCACTTGGAGGAAGTGGGAGCAGTTGGCTCCAGCTGAGAGGGCCCTTACAGAGACATGATGCTAGAGACCTTAAGAAATCTGGTCTCTGTAACCTTTGTACTCGGACTCTGGCCCACAGACAGCCTTTCCTTTCCATTGTGGAAAGCTGGGGAGGCTCCACAATGCTCAGTGATGTATTTCAATTTTGAGGATTGAAGATTTTAAATGATTGCTAAGAGATGGATTATTTTTGCTCCTAGCAAAATCTTTGTGTTTCGTATCTCACAATTGGATGGTCTCAGCTAAATCGTAAATGGACAATTTCTTTTGCCTCTTTTGGAGCAGTGTCAAGAGCGTGGACCTGGGAGACAGACTATCTACTTATACTTTCTGTCTTTGCTCTTACCTGCTGGAAAGGACATTCATAACCACTCTGCCTCACTTTAATTGGAGATCCATGTATTCACATGTGTTTTTATTTTGCTGGCTTTGTTTAGAGATAGGGTCTCACTGTCGCCCAGGCTGGAGGGCAGTGGTGTGATCATAACTCACTGCAGCCTCAAACTCCTGGGCTC